TCTGCACAAGGCCTAGTTCAGAGTGAATGCTTTAATACCATTTATATACGCTTTTACAGTAAACTAAAAAATAATTTGTTTTACTTCTTCACAGGGTGATAAAGCAGATTGTTTTTACATTGTAGAATCTGGTGAAGTAAAAATCTTGATTAAAAGCAAGGTGAGTTCAAATTGGGTGATTAGGCTTTTAGGTCAATCCCTGATTTGAGTGATTAATACAAGTGGTGTGAAAAAGCCTACCCTGACTTAAATTTTAAGATATTATTTTATTATATTTATCATCATCACTTGGGTGATATAGGTCTGGATACCTGTTCTGAAATGCCCATACCTGTTCTGAAGTGGCCAGAAGTCACTTTACTAAAATTGGAAAGTCTTTTGCTTGTATCTGCTCCTTTGCAAACTAACCTCATATACTCTCCCTGGTCTTAAGGGTGGAAATGAAACTTTTCTTCTAGGATTCTAGAACACTGCAGTTTACAAAACCTGGGTTCTGTTATCTCTAGTGACATACAAGACATTGGCATTTGAACAGATCTCTGTACAGCCTGAAGCAGCCTTAGGGAACAGCATGTTGTGCATGATAAAATGTGTGTTAGGCTAATGTAGTAGCAGTTCCCAAACCTGTAACAGTAAATATCTGTCCATCTCAAAACTTGTGGGCTAGTATAACTTTTCTTATCAAACTTGTAACTGAACATACTGTTAAGGTGTCCTACCACTACAGAGCATGACTTGGGAATTACTAGTTTAAAAGCCCTAAACCAAGCAGCTGTTGTACATCTGTAAGATATCTGGGATTAACTGCAGCCTCATACAAAGATAGAACTGTACACAAATAATTGAAACGTACTGTTTAACAGACTATGACAAGTAAAGAAGCTAACCAAGAAGTGGAGATTGCCCGGTGTCACAGAGGGCAGTATTTTGGAGAGCTTGCACTCGTTACCAACAAACCCAGAGCTGCCTCTGCCTATGCTGTTGGGGAGGTGAAATGTTTAGGTAAGTACATGTTCTGTGTTTATATTCACCCTTTTCTGGTCTTTGCTTGTTTTGTGGACCATGCCTGAGTGAGCAGCTACTCAAAACCTAGCAGCCTTTTGGTAACTGTCAGTCAGAGATAAGAAGCTAGGAGCATGGGCTGGAGCAGATCTCCATGTTGAGAAGCACCTCTGCTTCCTTCCAGCAGATTCTACTTTTTCTGCTTGTGTGGCCTGTACTCTCAGAACAGGTAAGTAGCATCAGCTTCTTGTCTACAGCTTGTTTGTCACACACAGCTTTCAGGTGATCTTTTAATGCCAGTGTGGTATGTAGTTGTCTTCCGTCTTTATCATTAAAGTCAGGTGTGTATTTTATTAATCTTGTTTCTCCAAATAACAGTACAGAGGGAAATCAGAAATATGGTTTCTGTTTCTACGGCTTCTATTGAAGCCTCAGACCCAAACAGGTTGAACTGGAGGTCTGTGTTCTAAGTTCAAAAAATAGATTGGTGTGTGGTGTTCTTTTTGACAATCTTGTTTTCACTTCTGTTCCTTTGCAGTTATGGATGTGCAAGCATTTGAGAGGTTGCTTGGACCCTGCATGGACATTATGAAGAGGAATATAACACATTATGAGGAGCAGCTGGTGGCAATGTTTGGCTCTAGCATGGACCTGTTGGATCCAGGGAATTAGGCACAGGGTACCTCAATGCCTTCTTAGTTCAAGACACAGAAAAGCCTCCTATCAGCAACACAACTCACAAGGAAAACGGACACTACAGAACAGTTACTGCTGCTGTCTTCTTGGGCATTTTAGAAACCATAAACAAGTCTCAGCACAGATGGATTGCTCACTCCCTGCCTCCACTTTGCTGCTGATACTTCATTATTAGACCTAGATTAAAGATGATTCTAACCCTATGTTCACTTACTTGGTTCAGAATGGCATCTGTCCAACAGTTCAAGTGCCTGATACGAAACCCAAAGTGTGCAAGATATAAAAGCCTCCTTCCTTCTGATGTTACTGTTGGGATAAATTTTCAGATCAGATTCTGTAGTGTGAGGTTGCTTGTTCTGCAGAGGCAACTTATGGAATATGAGCCTTTTATGAGCTTATTACCTTCATCTGATGCTTTCCTTACACAATGTCAAATTTGCTTTTAATTGTAGCATCTGGGTTTGAAGTTGAAATATCAGTGGAGCCAATTAATAAGGTGGCACTGAAGTTTTCTTCTACCTGTTGAAAGCAGCAGGTACTATAGCTCTTTAAACCAAGTAAACCAAGCTGGGGACTTGGGAGAGTCTGCTTAGCAACAAAATGCAGAAAATGAAGCATTACTATATTTTAAGTGTTTTCTGAGCAGCAAAGAAAATTATTTTATTCTATGCTGCCCAAAAAAAAGTGCAGTGGTTCAGATCAAATGGCCCGAAGGCGTCATAATCGTCATCTCCCCAAATTTGCTCCTTGTTCCCGTTGCGGAGTACATTTTATTGTGGTGAGATCACAATATATGACCTTCTCTTGCTTACAAAGATCCTTTATACTGCTAGATTTCCCAGGGCACTGTTGTTGACTGGGTCAGTTTTAAAGCTTTTTAAGGAGGTGAATGTTTTGTAATTTAAATGAAGACTTCTTCTGTACTTGTTTACAGGAGCTCCCCCCAGTCCTAACATTTCATAGTATTCTAACTTCATTAGACACTTGGATGCTTCCAAATACCATGTTGATTTGCTAAACTTTTCAAAAGTTGGCAACATTTGACTTTGTAAATCAAATGTCTTTGCTAACTCCGTAGTTGGTGTGTTTGAGGAGTCTTTTTGGTTTAGGTGATAACTAAGCTAATGATGTTCATCTAAAATACCTGTTAAATTTGCAGCATTTATTAGGTAGATTATATTTCTATAGCTTTAATGACCTTAATTGGCATACTGCTGAGATTTTATCAGAGTATTATCTAAATAAGAATCAGACCATAAGAAGGACATTTTTATGGTATACAAACAGAATATTTATATAAATACATTGAATTTGTAGGTAATAAATCTAGTGACCCTTTGAATTTGCATTCTTCTGCAGCTCATGCAAAACTTACTGGTGTTTTATGGGATTATAAAATTTTAATTGTGGATGCTAGTATAACAGAACCTGCTCTTTTTATTCATGGCCACGATGCAAAAATAGAAGGATGCTAATGTTGAATTAATTCCTGCTTCTAGTTATCACAGTGGACATTTCTCTAAGGCACGAGATGCTTAGCTGCAACTCTTAAGTTGATTTCTGGACAATTTTTCTCCCAAACTGGATGAGCTTCTCCCCGTTCCTGCAATATGAGTAAGATGGAGACTTGATAAATTTGAATGGCTGTTGTCCAGTTACTGTAATTGGAGTCCTATTTTTATACAATGCAAATGATTTGCAATGGACACCACTGAACTAGGTGTTTCCATATTATTAAAGTCCTGGTTGTGTTGTCTAGTGGCTGTTCTAACTGCATGTATTTTAGAACAGTGAATTTCCTTTGCTTTACTGGGCTGTTTTTTGTTGTAAATTACAGCCAAAGAAGCAGCAGGTACTTCTCATTCATGCTTCTGAGGTTTAACACCAAAGACAAAAAATCATTCTTTTGATTACAGAATTAAAAAACAAACAAAACCAAACCAACAAACAAACAATCAAAAATTTTAAAACCCCACTTATCAGGTCCTTGCATTGATAACAGATAAAACTTTTAAGATACTTTGGGCTCCAAGACAAGAATCTTTCTGAAGCCAGCTCGTGACTGTCCTGCAAACCAGACATAAACTTGTCTCCAAAACGGTTTGAGTTTCTGTGCTGCCTAAGCTGTCATGTGAACTAAAGAGAAACTTTCTGTGAATAATCACCATCTGGCCTTTGCCCCCAGGCAGAATATCTTCTCCTTTATCCAGAGGAGCCTGGCAGGTTGGGCTGCCTTACAGATGGATTCTGGTTCTTACAGCCTTTCATTCCCTGCAGGACAGGAGTGTATACCTCAGCATGTACAAACATTGGCAACTGTTCTGAAGCTTAACCAAGGCAAAGCTGATGTTAGATTCTTAAGGTAATTCTGCCTGGAAGGGAGGATTTGATGGCTTCTAGAAGTCGAAGGAAAGATGAGAACATAAAATCAAACGATTGGGATCCCATGCGAGCAAGAACAAACTTTTGAAATGTTACCTTTCTCTAGAGTCCCTGAAGCAAAGGCATACTGGGCAATGCCATCCTGCATCCAGGATCTGTGTGACATCATTTTGTGGTGTACAGAGGCAACCTGACCTTGAGCTGAAAGAGAATAAGCCTCTAAGAAGGCTCATCCATTTAAAAGCTGTAATTTGCCATGTGCCTGATCAGTTTGGTCTGGTTTAACCAACTTGTTCTATACAGTGTTGGAGCATGAAGATAGTGAGAGAAGCTTGTAGTAAGATACTCGACATTGCCAGGTATCTGGCTAGAGCACCAGCAATGAGCAAAGTCGAAAAGCATGTGAGTGGTGATACCAAGACCAAGGAGTGAAGTGAGGTGCCTGTTTGTGAAGATCTGCCTGCATCACTGTATCTCAGCTCATTCCTTTTTGCTATGACTGTTCATTGCAATTGTCGTGGAGACCGAGCCCAGGTTTTCTGTTGTTACTGATCAGTGTTCAGTAAATCTGCTCTGGAGTCTCTGAAATTGGCAGTAGAGAGAGATCTAGTTTTTAACAAAAGAACTCAGCAGCAAAGTGGGCAAAGAGGATAAGTGTCTTCGAAACTTAGAGGAAGAAATGTCTCTTGTTTGTGATTCCCTGCTTGTGGTTGTTGTGAAGTCAGTGAGAGGAGCTTTCAGTGGTCAGATATCCTGGCACATGGTATTTCTGTTTAATGTTACAGCACAGGTTTCACAATGTAGAAGAACAAAAAAGGGCAGAAGTGCTCTCTTTAGAAACAAAAGTGCAAAACTTAAAACTAAAAGTGCAATTTTGCACAGAGGGCAAAAAAACAAAACCCCTTTGAATGTCACTTCCATTCTTTTCAGTTGGCTGAAAGTGGACTCTTGTTCTTGACGTGTTTGTAAACTAGTCTTGCCAAAATACAAACACTTTGTTGTTTTTTTTTCACTCCAGATAATTTTTGTTAACGGTTATTGCTGATATTTTCACTTTTTTTCAAACCATATATTTTATTTCAAGAGGCCTTCCTTGTGGATTTCCTCCTGATGGTCTGCAGCACTACACTGCTATTTCAAGATGCAAGAGAAAGTCACTAACCTCATAGGAGAACACTCAACTCTGCTTAGCTGGCTGGAGCTAATACCGCGCTACTAATTTTCCTCTGCTCTGTAGGGCAGGAGGGGAATTAAATTCTGCATAAAGTTGCTACCTCAAGGCTCCAAGTGCTTTTAAAGGTCTTTCACTTGGGAGAATTTAATAAGACAGTTCTTAAAATTGGTCTGTTCTTTTGAGTTAAATGTTTTTTTAATTGATTCGTTGAGGGACCCTTGTTTTAATTCATTTTACGTTTAGTACTTGATTCTCAAAGGATGAACAGCTGCGAAGTTTGGTTCTTGCACTATAGTGTTGAACATGAAAGAAAAATATCTGCCATATAAACATATGGTTTTAACAAGTTAAACCACTCTGGGGTTCAGCTTCACTTTTGGTTAATAAAAAACTGACATGTTGTGTCCAGCCTTCCTTGTACAATCCTGTGTGTGCTCTTTATTGACTTACTGCAGCTGACACAACCGCCCCAGTGGACTCATCAGGAGTGGACTTAACATCAGCTAACTAGATTTACTCAGAGTGACTGAGTCACTGTTGCTTGTGTTATCAGAGCCTTATGGAAAACAGCACTTGCCCTATTGCAATAACCAAAAGATTTATACATTACCTGACCACCAAGTTTTGCTGTTTGGTGATTAAAATTTTACTAATATCTTTAAAATAATACCAGTTTCTGTAGATATTATTGCTCCCAATAAAACTGGCTGCTCTGATATGTCTGCCAAATTATCGTAGAACTGATTTATTGTTTGAGCACTGTGCTAACTGGTTCTCGGTTCCTAGGAGAAACACAGTATTCCTGTAGGTCTTTCACTGGCCTACACTTACAGCTACTGAATTTTATATGACAAGCTGCCTTGTTTTTAACCTAACTAACCATCTGAAAAGAAAATTACTTTGGTACATGTGAGTTTGCCTGCTCAAATACTCAATATTTGATTTTGCTGAAGTTTTATTTCTAAATATTTAGTATTTTATGTACAGTTTTTAAATTAGCCTGGGAGAGTAGTTCAGATGGATTGTGGTGCTAAAAATGAGAAAGCCTCTGCCAGAATACAGTACTTTTGCTTTGGGCACTTGAACTCAAGGAAGATGTTGACACATGAAGAAGCCAGAGGGCAGCAGCATAATAAACAAGTATCTAGAAAATGTTACATTTTACAGAAGGATAAGGAAAATCTGGGACTTTTTCCAGTGGAAAGGAGGACTAGGGGAGAGGGGGTGGGGAATATTCAAACAAGAAGGAATGATTAGGATAGGCCTATTAATATAGGGCATAAGCTACAGCAGGGAAGCTATTTAAGCATTCAAAAGATCTGTCTGGAAGATGGCTAGAATAGACTGCTTGGGGCAGTGTGAAATCTTCCAGTGCTTTTTTTTTTTTTTTTTTTTTTTCCAAACAGTTCTAAACTACCTCTGCTGAATGCTTACAATACCTGTCTGAGGCAGGGGTGTATTGGATAACCTTGAGGAGGCTTTTCTGAGATACGTTGCTGTTTCCTTATGAATACCTCTTCAAAATCACCAAGGGCTTTAGCTGACACAAATATGCTGTCTCCAGGCTTTGTGCCGTATCAGCAGTAGGAAGGTGAAAACAGATCAGTGCCTGTAAAAGAGAGGGAGGTGTTTCCTTTACAGCCTGACGTGCAAGTAGGTGGTCAGTGCTAGGACTCTGGTCCAAAGCTTACCAAGCACTTGGGACAGAGGAGCCTGGGCTCCCCGCAGGATAGAGGGAAAGTGCCAAATTCAAACAGAGAAAATCTTTTGAACTCTGATGTTCCTTTGCAAACGATGTCCTGCACCATTGCCACCGCGTGTCAGATGGGCATTAGTCTATTGGAGTGTTACCCTGCTGTGGTCCATATTAATTCTTGGGTAAGATTCTATAAAGTTCTTACGCTGAGGATGATGTTTCATCATTTTGGCAAAGATACTTCTTTCTGCTGTTTCTCTCAGAGGGATGTATTTCATACCAGTCTTCTGATGAGCTACAAGGATTCATGCTGGTACTGCAATTGCGTTATTTTATCTCATCCACTTGGTGTTGACCAGTGAGATACAGAGACATGCTGCCAACCTTCTGTGTACTTTTCAAATCTGTTTCAGGTGTCTGTACTGTAAAATCGAGGCTATAACACAATGTTTGTAACCTGTTATGATGCTGGACAACACACTCCACCAGGAACTGCATCAGGACCAACATAATTTGTTTAAAGGGAAAGTGAAGGACCATCTCTGCTAGCCCCTCTCCAACAGCGTGTTTAGTGTGGAGCATTCAGTATTTGTCCTTCTGAAGCTAAAAGCTAGTATGCAGCAGTACCAAAACACCATCTGTTCCCACAGCTTCCCAGAGATTAATTTCAGACCTAAACCCTGCTTGTTGCCTTTCTCAATCTGAAAAGGCTGAGCTCAGGTTTCCCAAGGGTGGGTTTTCCAAGGCCCCGGCCAAGCACCGACACCCCGCGCAGCCATGCTGACCGACATCACTGCTTTCCTCGCCGGCACAACTGGAAACTGCCCCTTTCCCCGGCCCAGGGGTGCCGGCGGCTCCCCCGGGCTCCGGCTGGAGCGCTGGCCTAGCCGTGGCGTGGCGGGCAGGCCCGGCCCGGCCCGGCCCGTGCCGTCGCCATGGCGACGCGGAGACGGGGCGCGCCGGGGGCTGACCCTGCGGGGCTGCCGTAGGAGGCCGGGCAGCTTCGCGCCGCCATTGCTGCGGGGAGGGCGGATGGCGGCGGAGGAGCCGCCGGTCGCTACCTTCGAGCGGCGGGTGCTGCGGAGCGCGGCGGAGCACCACTACCTGCGCGTCCGCTTGTGAGTGGGAGTGGGTGTGCGTGGGGGGGCGTGTGTGTGTGTGGGGTTTGTGGGGGTGACCCCCCCCCTCTCTGCTCCGCTTCCCCCCAGGGAGCTGCCGGACGGCGGGGCCCGACCGAGCGTCGCGCAGTTCAAGCAGTTGGTGGTGTCGGCGCTGAGGGAGCTGCACGGAGAGGTGGGCCGGGAGCGGGACCGGGCGCCTTCGGGCTGTGCCCCTGGCTTCCGCGGTCGGTGTTGTGTCGGCTCTGCCCCCCCGGTCATCCCGTCTGGCGGGAGGGGCGGGGGCCGAGCTGACGGCGGGCGGGAGCCTTGGGCCTGCAGAGGCAGGCTAAGTGTCTTCGGTCTGCCTCTCCGTTAACCCGTTAGCCGCTCTCCGGCTCCTGTTGTAGCTTGCTCCTAGTGAAGCTGGGGTTGTGCACTTTGTCTTAGTGTCTGTAGTCAAGCGGCTGTAGCATATTCGGCTTTTAGAATTGAGGGTATTGGCGCTTTCACCTGTAATGAGGTTTTTTTGAAAGGAGAACTATGGGAAGGGAACAGCTTCGTGGATGGAGAAGTCCACAGTACTGTTCTTGCTCAGTTTACACTACTGCTGCGTGACTTTAAACACTTTAGAAGTCACATCACTGCTGGGTCCCTGTTTCTCCAGCTGTAGCATGGAACTAAAAGTGGCTTCCATCTAAAGAGCTCTGAGAGGAAGGGTGCTGTATAATGCGGTGGTGTAGCTGAAATGCTTGTGTGAGGTTTGAGAGTAACTGTAACGTCTTTAATGCTGTTGTGCTGGCAGTGAATTCAGTTGCCACTATAAGAGCTTAAACTATAAACCACTAATAAGATCTTAGATGGTACTTATTAGATAACATTTTTTCATAGGTTGGAGCAGCTTTGCCTGTTGATGTCTTAACATATGAGGAAAAAACTCTGTCTGCCATATTAAGAGTTATTAGCAGGTAAGGTACAGTAGGTACGCACTTCAGACACTGTAATGAAAATATTTTTCATGTGAAAACATAACTCTTAAGCTAAGAATAGTCTTTGAAGAATCAAGCCTAACTTACAGATGCCTGCATAGAGCACGCAGAAAATAAACTTAAAAATCGCTAAGATTTGGTAACCTGTGTGCATCAGTACTCTGTTCCTGCTTTACAGCAGAATGGTCTGAGAGGAACTGAGCACTGTTGAAATCTGTGGCCTTAAATCTCTTTCAGCAGTAAAGATGAGAATGGTTATTGTATTTAAAATGTGAAGACAACTGCAGGTGATTTAGAGGATAAAGGAGCTTAAGCGCACAGAGAGAACTGTAATGGGGCCAGTAGAGTGAAGTTGAAAAGGGTTGAAAAGGATAAAGTATGTATCTGTATGTCAAAAACAAGAGATTACAGTCATGGCAGTAACCCTTCAGTGTTACTACTAGAACTCACGGGTGAAATTACCTGCTGTAATTTCAGTTGCAGTTAAGGTTTTGTTACTTTTTATGTAACATGTTTTTTATTTAATATGTTTTTCTTGATTTTCCTGCTGCATAAACATATTTTATTAATATATTTTGTTTTCTTTTTACTTAGTGGCCTTGTCAAGCTGTGGAGTGCTCTAACATTGCTGGGCTTCTACCAGAACAGGAGGTGTGCCTTTCGAGTAATGCAGGTAAAGCCCTGCGGGGGCTGGATGGCTTCCCCCAAATGCCAGTTCTCACTCTGAGGTTGTCTGGCTAGCCGACCACACTACTTCTTCACAGAAAGGTGGCTTACATGCAAAAATGGCTTGGTTTGGGATTGAAATGCTTTTCAGTGCAGGTGTATAGGCCTGCATTTAAGCAATTCTCATAATTAATCTTGTAAAATGTGACGGTAGTGGCTGTCTCATTACTTTGTGGTTTCATTCCAGTGAGAAGTCCTGATCTCATTAATCTGTGAGAAAATAATTTCTGGAAAGTTTTGTTCTTGCCCCAATTTTTTTATTTCCCCTACCCCATTTCTTCCCTTTATAATAGTCACTGTCGACTGACCTCGTTTAAAAACGAATGCATGAGCATGCACTTGTAGAGCTTATTTTTTAACCAGAGGATGCTGCTTAATAAAACGAGTTCCAATAATTCTTTGTCTCTGAAGCCATGGCTTAATGAAAATCTGCTTGGGCATAGCTTTAAGTTTTTATTCTTTTATGTAAAAGGGAAATTAAAATATTTTCAGTGTTGGGTGCATTTGATGGTGAGGGTTTTTTTAATGCTTTAGTTTTCTTGCTTTTTTGTTTTTTCTTCCTTTTCAACTAGATATCTCCATTTCTTCTTGCGTTATCTGGCAACAGTCGAGAACTAGTCTTGGACTGAATGCAGTTATTGGTTTGGTTGTACGAAGCAGAAGTTGCCCGAGATGTTGCGGCCCTTCAGGTGTGGAATTTCTGGAGGGGATTTCCGACAAAGAGCCTTGACAAAACTAACAGTTATTAGCTCACTGCCTGGACATCCTGTACTTCAGAGTTTACACATAAAAGTTGGAGACAAAGCTGAACTTACCAAAGCTTTTACACAGAATGATGTTGTTACTTTTTCTGATTTAACAGGTGACACAAATCCTTTGCATTTAAATGAAGATTTTGCAAAGAAATCTAGATTTGGGAGAACTATTGTACATGGCGTTTTGATCAATGGACTTATTTCTGCAGTTCTGGGTACTAAAATGCCTGGTCGAGGTTGTGTATTTCTTTCTCAGGAGATCCGATTTCCAGCTCCTTTGTATACTTGTGAAGAAGTCATAGCTTCAGCAGAAGTTAAACGACTGATGGGTTCTATTGCACACATTTCAGTATCATGTAATGTCAAAGAAAGTGGAAAGACTGTTATGGAGGGGATGGTGAAAGTCATGGTGTCAGACAGTGAGAGCTGTTAATCCTATGCTGCTTTACTATAAAGGCCAGAAATGTATGCTTGGTTTTGACTCTGTCTTTTAACAGCATGACATCATGTAATCCAGTAAATTTTCAACAAAAAACCTTCAGAATGTGTCAAAGACGGTGCACAAACTTAATCTTGATAGAACTGCATTAAACTTGGAGCTTTTCATTTTTTCCTGTGTACTGCCAAGATGAAACCAACAGAATTAGGCACTTACTGTGACAGAAGTGACATGTTTAGACAGGCCTTTGCTCTGCCACAGTGGGAAGTCTGGAGTGAAAGGGCTCATATCAAGGCTGTTCTTTTTCAGCAAAATCACAGTCTGCACTAGTGAAGTTCAGTTAAAACTTGTTCAGTCTTTATGAAGTGGTTGTATTGCTAACAGGCACTGGTGGGAGGGGACAATGCCGTGTGTCTGACAAACAGAATGGGAGGTATTGACACACATGTACTGCAAGGTCTGGTGTAATCTCCATGGCAGCTCTAGAGGACGGAGGTGCAGTGTGCTGGTTTGCATTTTCTAGCTAGTAAAGCCTTCCTTAGCTCTGCAGAGAAGTAGTCATCGGCCTTTACATAAACAATATACTCTGCCTGGCATTCAATACTTTCAAATTCTTTACAAAAGAATTGATTACAAAACCTGATTATAGACACAGAAAAAAAGTTACCTTTAATGATAAATGCCTCTGAAACTTGCCTCCTAGCAGCAGGATGAAGGAGGCTTTTAAAAAGCTGTGTTGTCACTGCTTGTACTTGCTGTGTCTTTATGTTCCTGTGGGCAAGACAAGCAGCAGCAAATTAGCTGAGTACTAACTATGGCTTCTTTCTGCTTATTTGACTGTGGGAACAGGTATTCCCTTTTGCCCGCTGAAAGAACCTTGCTTGCTGGTAAAGTAGGCTTTCGGTAAATTCATTAGTAAATAATCAAGGTTAAATTATTTTAATACTGACATAAGATTATTATACACTAAAACTTTTTTCAGGAATGATGGAGACCATCAGGAGTCTGTCTTCAGTTGTGGCTCATGTAGTTTTCTGGCAAAATACCTGTTTTCCTGCCACCATCTCTGCAGCATAAATGGATCCATAACTTCCCTTGGCCTCAAATAACCTCAAAAGTTGTTTGCTATTGAAAAAAAGTTTGTCTTCAAACTAGCTATTGGTAAAACAGTTACACTGTCTGGGTGTGATGTCATTCTTAAATGCAAAGACCCTGGAACAACAAACCCCAGGTGTTCAGTCAGACTGGATCAGAGGGAGGGGTAATGTTTGAGCTGTTTGACTTCACTAGGCCCTCTGTTTCCAAAGCATGGGTTTGGGCTGTTTGCAACATGGAACCAGTACTTAGTGAGAGCTTTCCTTATCTCCTGTTTGTTGGAGTTGCTTCACTTCTCGTTTCCTTCTGCCTGGGGTCACTGCCTGATCACTGCTGTTGCTGTTTCTCACGGTGCATACTCCTTCCCTTGTTCATCTGCCTCTCTAGATGAGAAGTCGTTAATGCCTATTAAGATGAATCAGATGTGAGGCTGAGATGGTGAAGGGTTGGGGCAATAATTAAATCTGCATCTGACCACCTGGGTAACTGTAGAAGGAGTAGTTGGGGAAGATGGCTGTTCCAGCTGGAGATTTACCTTCTTTACCCCAGTCAGTGTGGAGCTGCACGAGAGATGAGGCTGCTTACGATACCTGTTCGAAGTGCACGACAAACTCCCGCTCTGCAGTCCTGCAGCATCTTCAGTGAGATTAATTAATTCCTGTGTGCAGTGTAAAAAGCCATGAGGAAATGCAGATAAGTGCTCAACATGCAGTAGGTTCCCAAGCACTGGGTAGCATTGAAATACTTTTCGACACTGCTATTGTGGAACTCAATTTAGCAACTTTAAATCTGTGTTTTGCAGATACCCCCCTTCCCCACCAAAAAAAAAACAAAACCACCTTAAAAATCTGCAAATTGAGTAGAAGATACTGGGTACTGCTTGATTTCTTTTTTTTTAAAAGATCTTTTAACTACAAAAAACCCACCCAAAGCACCAGCCCCTTTTAAGTTTCTGTCTGTGAGGACCCAGCGGTGCCTCAAGGCTAATTTCCACCCCCCCCCCCCCCGCCCTGGAGCTACCGGTGCGGCAGACTGGGGCAGTCACATCCCCTCTGTGCGTGCGTCCTCCCCTGCCCACAGCTCCTTCCCCCGTTATTAATCCTGGCGGACAGACGGACGGACAGACAGACAGACAGACAGCCCGTCCGCACCGGGCCCCGGGGGCGGGAGCCGCCGCGCGAGGCCGGGCCTGCCCCGAGCGGGCGCACCACGGCGCCCCCTGGCGGGCGGCGACGGGCGCCTGGCGCTAAGGCCCGGCGGCGGCGGCGGCGGCGCTGCCGTGTTGACAGCGGCGGCCGCGCCGGGAGCTGCCCCGGGAAGCAGGTTGGAAGGCGCCGGGCTCTCGTTCCCCGCTCCGGTATGGCCTTCATGGAGAAGCCGCCCGCCGGCAAGGTGCTGCTGGACGACACGGTGCCGCTGACAGCGCAGATCGAGGCGAGCCAGAGCCTGCACTCCCACACGGTGAGCGGCGCCGGCCGGCGGGCAGGCCGGGCCGCGGGGGGCGGCGGCGGGAGCGGCCGGTACCGGGGGTGGGGGGGGGGCAGTGGGAGGGAGGCGAGGTAACGGGGGGCGCGGGGGGATGCCCTTGGTACGGGGGGGAGCAGAGCTGGGCGGGGGGGCCTGCGGCTCAGCCCGGTAGGAGCGAGGCCGAGGGCAGCGGAAGGCGGGGAGGGCGGCGGAGCAGGGCCCGGGGCAGTTGGGGGGGGGGGGTGGGCTGGGGCAACCGGTGCGGTGCTGCGGGGGTTGAGGGTGAAGCGGTGGGGTGGGAGGCAGCGGGGCTGAGACCCCCGGGGCGCGGGTTTCACCTCCCGGGCAGCCTGGGGAGCCCCTCCGATGGGGCTGCCTGGTGTCCTGCGGCGAGCCGAGAGTTGTTCGGCTCCTTCTCCTCCTTTCTGCTCAGCGGGTTGTCCTGCAGCCTGCCCCAGCTCCCAGCCACGGCCCCGTCGGGGGCTGGCGGGGCGCAGGCTCTGCGTGGGCTCTGCCTTGTCTCGGACTCTGAGCCTTCTGGCTGAATAAGTTGTTGTAATTTCTGTTTTTCTCGGGGTCCATTACAGCGGTTGGAGCAGAGACGGGCTCCGGTTGCTTCATTTCGGTAGCTGTGATGAAGTTACATATGAAGGGGCTACATTTGCCTCTGCGTCCCACTGTGCGACTAGGGAAGGCTGTAAAGCTGCAGAGACCTGACTGAGGGTACAGCCCCACTTTCTTTGTTGTGGGGAGCGATGACACTGAGCAGAATGAGCCCTGCCGTGGCCTTTATGTCACACATGAATTCTTCTGAGATGTCTAGTACACATGCACACCACCTCCATAAGAATTGTGCTGGCTTTGAGCATGCAATAATAGTCCAAATTTCACAATCTCCTGTTTGCAGTTAATTTCCACTTTAAAAGCAAGGTTTACTTATGGTATTATGAGCAAGCAGTACTGTGAATCAGAGGGAGAACTGGCTGTCATTTCTAATTCCTGCTTTAGCTGAGAGTGGGGATTCTGGGCTAAAAAGGAGGCCAGAGGTTCTTCAGCAGCAGGTATGCTAGCAGGGGATGTGTTTTAAATGGAGAGAAGGTGCTCCCTCTGCCCGTTACACAGCTCCAATTCCTGTGTTGTTGATCTCTCTTCCTGGTTTCTTTTATTTGGTAAATACTCTTAACCTGAATGACAATAATTATAGGTTCACCACAGGATATACAACTAATCTGTAGACTGTCTTATTAAATGATCTTCCTTTAAGTAATCCACACTTATGAAATATTTTTCGTGTGAGAAACTCGCATTAACTAATGTTCCAGTCTTCCTCTGAATGGAAGTTATATATGAGAGATTGTACAGAAGATCTTGTGAATCTAGCAGGCTACTGCTCTCAATTGTTGCAACTCCTATTATAAATAAAACTAATGAGGTTTGTTTTCTCTCAAGCCTGATACATTTTACCTGTTTCAGTAGCTGAGGGGTGCAAGTGCCCAGTCCCACGAGTTGTATAACTTCTAATATTCCCTAGTTAGCAGTCCAGATTACAGTTTAATTGTGAACTTGTTTTCATCATGCCTTATTATACTTTTTTGCTAGTGCAAATGACAGTAGCTTTTTGTGTTCTTTCATTTGGTTTGCATGATTCTGCTTAGAAAGAAAAGTCACAAAATTATTTTAGATTGAGCACTTGAAAGTAGTTTTTCAATCCAGACTCTGTGTTTGTGTTGTCTTGTCTGGGTGAGTGCGATAGCAAATGTTGCTCCCCCCTCTCTGTCTTTCGTCTCTGTATTCTGTTACTAATGGATGTTCAGAAAAAATTCTCTACTGATTTGTTCTGATCTTTTGTTAATAACAGAATGCTGGAGCACTGTGCCTTTTGATTTAAAATCTGTCTCTAAGATACATCTATTAGTAATTGTTTGTTTTACTGCAGAAGCCCTGTTGATAGTTGAAAGATGGCTTGAAGTGTGTGTAGCACAGATGGTTTATATAGAGGCAGTGTGGGATAACAAAATACAGGAAGCCATAACAGAGACCTCGTTTCTCATTTGATGCAAGTTGACTATTTTGTCAGTTTGAATGCTTCATCTTATGTCCCTGGTATCTGAATAATTTGTTTATTGGTGGTTGATGCTGTCCCTGATTTGAACTCTCTTGGTTTAAATAAGCCACACAAATAGATCTTTGTGTTTGAAGAGGTGTGTAAATGAAGTTCCTCTAAAAAAAAAAAAAAGGGTTGAAGTGCTTTTGTGGGGTGTTAAGACTGTATTTTACTTTGTTATAGATGTAAGGAAGTAGTTTGTCATTAACTGAAAGCTTTTTGGGTTTGTTCCTCATGCCACCTCAAAGCAATATCTTCAAAAGATGTAGATCTGTACAATTCTTCACCCCAACTAATGTTTGGAGAACTAGGTCTTCACATGCCAGACTAGTTCTTAAACTGAAATACAAAAGCATCCATGAATACATTTTCTGTTCCTTTGTCAGCAGCATGCATTAAGATTTTAGAATGCTGCTTAGTGTTGCAAGAATTGCCT